TGACTGATATGGCCATTATTCGTTCCGTGAATTTTTTTATCATGTCTACGTCATCCAAACATTTAATCCGATTAAACAGGCAAACATACCATTAGTCATACTTACTCACTTATTTACAACTCTTACCCCTCGTAGATGAGAGTAGGCCGCCCACAAGCATTCTCAACCCAACTCTGTCCTGGAAAATCCTTTCTAGTTCTTTCCAGTTGCTGTTCATCCTTTTCATGTCTGCTTCCAATTCCTGACTCAATGTGTTCTTAGGCCTTCGCTTTTCCGTTTCCCTTCAGGATTCCAGGTAAGCGCTTGCCTATTGATGCAGTTCAATAATTCCCGTATTGTATGTTCTATCCACCTCCAACGTCTTCTCCTAATTTGCCGTTCAGCTAGAAGCTGGTTTTTATTACCTACAGTAGTCATACACTTAGATACAAATTATACATGAATAAAAACACACATTATCAACCATTTGAACGAGTAAAAATCAATATTTATTGGAATCAGATTCCCTTAGTTAATTACCATATCAATATCTTGCCTTATACTTGTCCGAACCAGTATACATCTACGTGTAAGTGTAAGCTCATTATACTTTGAATGAATAATATGATGCTACTAATAAGCTTTGTTAAAATTATTTTACTCAGTTCATATATTTATATACAGTAACATTGGTACACCACATAGTCTAATGATAAGTATGGACTAAATTCATTTCCATTGAACCCTTTTTCCACAACTATCTAATTGTAATTGTGCATTTGTAAAGGAAAATTTATTTACCCATCAATAATGATACATAAGCTGCAATCTATCGTATTCAACAATTGAATTTCGGAATATTTGGTATGTCCTACCACAATATTACAAATGTAACATAAACATGTGAAACAGTAATGAAGAAGTAAATGAACGAGCATTATCAGAAGGGGGTTTGCTGGAGATTTTAGTAATTTCAATTGTTGAGATCATGAGTCAATCGAGGCTAGACCACCATGGAAAACCTGGAAGCACTGGACGGCCGTTTCGTCCTATTGTGGGTCTCCACAACAATGCCCATCAACGATCCTGCTTGAGAGATTCTAACCCAGGGCCTTCAGTCTCTCGCGTGTGAACGCTTAACTTCTAGACTACTGAGTCGGCATCCAAAGGTGTTAATGTCTAACCTCAACCAATCCATGAAATTGCGCGACCATCTTCCATTGTGCTGAGGTAGATACCTGTCTCTATGCGACACGAATTAGCTCCACTGGTCACAGAGTGTTTATCCAGTAGACAATAAACAAGTACTATTAAAAAAATTTTACTAACATTAATATCCTTATAGAATTGGTAACTTTGATGGATGTGTAGTGATAAATAATTCCTTAAAATAACTAGACAAGAAAACCTGATGGTTGTGAGTTTGATCATTAGCGGAGTCGTATATGTATATCGTTGAGGAGTTCCATATTAAGATGAAGTAGTTGTCTTATGCTTTTCATATTTCAGTGGCTCTTTGAATGAAGTAAGTCTACAATTCTGAATTGTTAAATCTATCAACCCTCATAATTCTCTAAACTGATATGCATACATTCATTTTTCGGCTCTCGTTATTGTTCACTTTTAACGTAAATCAAAGAAAGAATTGAATTTTCATCGACACATTAAGGAAAGCACTCAACTGCGTCACAAGACAAGCTCTTACTTGGAACCTTCAAGGTCAAAGGAGGGGAGGAAGAACAAAGAACACATTACACCGTGAAATGGGGACAGATTTGCGAACAATGAACGACAATTGGATATAACTAGAAAGGAAGGCTATTATAACTTGACACTTGTGTGCCCTGTTAATGTATACGTAATGATACCACCAATTAGAGAACAGTGAATTATCGATCGGGTCAGTGATGCATAAAATCGTACGAGCAGTCTAGAGTACTTTCCGGTCCTGCTGTCTGCCTAGCCCATCCACTTAAGTCTAGAACACCAATCTCAGCCTCTGCAACGTGATTCATTTATTTCAAATATACTGGATTTATATACAAGACAAACAGACCGCATCGTACCATAAAATATGAAACAGCATTTGTCCAAGAATTGGTCAAATGTGGCTGTGAATAAGGGAGATAGTAATTGATAGACAGAGCATAACTCAAGAATGGTAAATCGTATAGTAATAGTTCATAGATCAAAATGATGCTCATAATAAGAGGGACATGAATATGAATAGTTTCGTTATTTAACAATTATACGATAAAAATAGAATTGGTTCATAAATGAGTCCTAAAAGTTACCATTCATTATGCTTGTCAGGACATAACACTTGGTAACTGCTTGATTTCGAATTCCAAATACAATATGTTCGTTCGTGTTCATCCAATACTCCTTAGTTAAATTGCGTTATTTCTGGAATTCTTAGTTTGTACTATAATTCAAATACTCCTGATTGTCACAGTTACGTAAACCATGAGTTTGTGAATGAAGAGGATAATATAATAACAGAAGGCAAATTTGATTGTTTTCGTGTTCTGATTGATCAAAGTGGAAATAACGAGCTACGTTGGTTAATAGGCTGAGAATTTTCTGGTCATTGTGTTATTGGCTAAAGAGGTCTATCTATGATCAATTGACCTGATTAAGAAACCAATGTAAAATGTTTCAAATCTCTATATCAATTAACACCTCTCTATTTTCACCAATTTATCACCTCTCTACTTGAAATACTTTTCTTTTTTTTTCTCGTTGACATTCCTGACGGTAATTTTCTCCCAGTTGCATCCCTCTCTATTCAACAAATTGGTATTGACACATCATCGTGACACTCATCACGTTTTAGATTGTAACATCTATGACAGCAATCAATTATCTGTTATACACAACATTCGCGAAACACTTAAACAATGTATATCGTTTATGTTGTTGTACAGAAGTGATCAAATGTGAGTAATGATGTGGTAACACCCATACTCATAAGAAAATTCTAAACGCCCTTATATATTCAAAGACAATTTGTAGCTGAATGAAATCTACTCTGGTAACTATTGACTTTCATGTACTATAGATGTTACAAGTAATGTGTTTGACTTTTGTTGTTTTCATGTGCAAATCGTTCTGGTGTAACCGCTCCCATTTCTTACATAAATTTCTAATATAAGGTCAATGTTTGATCGGATGGCAGTTCGAAATGTATTGAGTTAATATCATCACATGATTTTGATAAACTTTGTCTTCTCATTATAAACACACACAAACACATATCCACTTGTACTTTAATGTTTGAGGAAGTGGATCTTGTTGAAATGGTGATTTGAATAAATTCAAATGTTGGGGTGAATTTTGTTTGATACTTTGAAAATCTTCTAACGTGGATGAGCATGATAAATGACTTTAGTGCAAAATGTATTTGTTGAATCCGAGATGTACAACGGAGCCTCTAGAGGCCTTGAAGGAGCCGAAGTATTTCTATAAAATCAGAACACGATGGAGCTCTCTACAATATCAACGTGGTACGTTGACATTGGACAGTAGCATAAAATGTCTCTTTACGGATTGGCCGAATTATAATGTTGATTTAACAAATGCTAATATCTATAAATACCCGTGATTTCATATACATTTCGTTTCTTACCAAATAAACACTTCCTTAGCTTTTCTACTGTCTTCTGATTTGCGTCGGTAAAGTTCCAACCTTCGAGTGTCGTAGTTGTAAACCGTATTCCGCGTTAATCAAGTAGCGAACTTAACAGTATTATACTAAATAATTTGTTTGCAGTAAAGATATTGAACTACTTTTCAAATATTTTGTCGGAGAAATATCATAAAACGTATGTGGAATTCAACACAAACTGTTTTACTGATATTGAACATCTTTCTCTCGAGTTGAGACCTTTTAAACAACTTCTAATGGTTACTTGATGTGATTAAGTGACTTTATTGTTTCTGGATATGATGTAATAGATGGTTTACGATATTTTCCTCTATTACACGTATATGACAATAATAAATTAATACGCCAATAAGACTAATTACGTTAGATCAGAACCAGGATTCACGACTCAAAATAGAGAACCAGGTTAATACTAGAGAATAGTTTATTCAATGCAATTACAAGCAATCACATACAATGAGTCTGGAGTAGAAATCAATGACAGGAAGGAAAATCACATATTTAATAATCCGTAGACTGTGCTTGTTTGCCCAAACTCAACGACTAATCATACTTTACTTTCACTACCACACAGGACTGATTGTGCTAAGTATCTATTATATCCCGATGAGAAGAATGAATAGTAACTGTTGGGATCTATGTTTGGACTAATAACTATACATATATTTTTTTATTGTATAATTGCTAAGTAACTAAACTACGCATATTCATGTTTCTCTTATTATGAGCTTTATTTCGACCCACAGTCTATTACTATACGATTTACCACTCTTGAGTTATGCCCAGTCTACTAATTACAGTCCCCCACATTCACATCCACCATTGGCTAGATCTTGTACATATATTATTTTCTATTTTATGGTACGATGTGGTCTGTTTGGCTTGTACATGAACCCAGTATGCTTGAAATACACTATTCGTATTGCGGAAGTTGAGATTGATGTTCTGGACTCAACAAGCAGGAATGTTGTACATATCACATTTATTCAATTGACCAATAAGCATATTCATAAATGGACTACTAAGCCTAGAACATGGGGTGTATCCAAGTTACACAGCAAGCATACAAATATGAGAATAAGACATTATATGGGCAAATAGATCCTTCACTAATTCATATTTCAAAACAGATTTTGGTATTATTTAGATCGCCTTAACTACACATAAATAAATACATGAGAAATATAAGTACTGACAGATTATTAATAACACTTCCTACACTGTTCTTTGCCCTTTCTAATCTAGAAATGTCGGAAAACAACTCAGAGGATCGGCTACTATATATATATATGTATCATACATCATTGGTGATTGCTTGTTAACCGATAGATATATGGATAATACAACTAAATTATTAAACCATAATACAGTTCTATTCAAGTTAAAACTTGCCAGAACAATAATGATAATAATAAGAAAAATATATAAAAAATCAAATTAGTCAAAATGGGGTTGATTTCATTTCACACCACCATCAACTATCATTTACATATCCGCGCATAAATCTATTCTATATACAATGGATTAGTTTCTATATAACAAGATATAATGAATGTGTTTCTGTTAAGTACATTTATAGTTGGTCATCGATCTTTTTCCATTGAACAAATCATGTTTACTCCAGACCAAGGCTTCTGATTTATCAAGGAATAAATTAGCTTCACATATATCTGTATGTATTTGTTTAATTAAATCCGCTAAAGTTATCAACAACAACAACAAGTTAAAGGAATAAACTGATTAGCAAGAAAGAAAACATTCATTATTATGTAAGTAGTTAACAGTTCAATAAAACAATCGAACAACAAAAGCCGGATACTTTACATATTTATATGATAAAAATGATGGTTTGGTTGAGAACGATAAATGTTATTTGTTTAGTTAGATTTTTTTTAAAATTCATAATGATACTGTGTTCCCAAAATACAGTAGTCGAAACAAACTACATCGATGGGCACAGTGGTTTTATTTTATTGATCAATCATAACAAAACTATAATGAATTCTAAGATCAGCAAGGACTAAACCTTTTGCAAAGCAACCAACAAATGTTTATTATAAAATCCTTTTTGTTTCAGCACAGACATGTGTTTACAGATTATGTTGTGTCGATAATACCCCATTTTTATATTAAGAGATTTTTCCAGAAATTTTCGAATCGCACCAAAATTCATTTAAGTCATACGAGGAAATCTGATAGCTCTGTATAACTTGAAAATTTTCCAGTACAATCAACAGTAGAAACAGTTGTCATCTAATTAAATAAACACATCGATTTTGAGACTGTCTAAATAATTCGAATTTGCTTCCCCAATTACAAAGACGAGTAGCTGAAGCATTTCATGGTATAATACATCACACTGCTCCCAATAAAACGTATCACTTCATATATTTATAAACCAAAACTTATAACGACGGTAAGCTACTATGAGGCGAATAACCTAGAGAACTTAACGTCATCGTCAACAATCCAAGTTCTCAACCACTAGTAATAGGATCATATGCTCAAATTAAGGTGCAAACACTTGAATAACTCGAGTGTTCTCCTAGCACGATAAGTATTATCCATAGATTTATGCACAAAAATGTACTTGGTTACTGAAATACAAAATTATCTGTATATGATCTCAGCTCAGGTAAAATAAATGTGAAATATAATCAACTTACCAATGCTTGGAAAGTCATATTCAGGTCTGAAGTACTTAACAGCAATTACTTCAATTGTGTCACCATAGAAATTCTCCTCAAATCTATGGAGTATATGGACTTCCTATAATAAATTAGACGATAAGGAAAAGGATTTCCTGACCACAGAACGCTTGATATTTTTAAAATAAGGATTCCATCCAATACTCATCACCATTTTATACACTGGAGTGTTGCTCAATTTAGCCCATCCGAAGTAAATACCATTTTTAGTTGAGTCTGGTATTTCAGTAACAATAGATTCTTCAAGATTTGCTACATAGACCACCAATAAAGCAATAAGCGATAACATGCAACAAACCAGTTGGAATTCCCAGCTGTTTTGATCCTCTTCCAAAACCATGCACGACTTTACCAGATGCATAAAACAGTGCTCCAGCCGACAAACTAACAAACATCTCTACAAAAAAAGGACGTTGAAGGCATACAATAAACTGTACAGAACGTATATAGATTTCATACAACAATGAAAATAGTTTGTCCTAACCCCGAAGTAAGACCAAACGAACACTGAAACGACTATAAATGAGAGAACACATATAAGACATTCAGGTATAAATAGGGCAAGACTTGTAACAAATTTTCATCTACTCTAAATTAGCACAATTCACCAAAACATATACCGACCATGAAACTGCATAAAAATACCGATGAAAGGTGATTTCAAATACAATATAACTTTGGCTTTTCTTGAATGACAACGGTGGTTGGTAGAATTTAAGTTAGTCTCAATTCATTCCGTTTCCTGCTCATTTTTACCAGTTTGCTATAAATACGACAAATAATAGTTTAATAAAGCTTATCGCTCTTAAAGTTGGGATGAATTTCATGAAATCGGTGTATCGTCGAACCTATTTTCGTAGTTTAATGGTTCTTGCTAAATTACAGATACAGAATGATTTTGGAGTGTAAAATTATATTTTGTTATATGGTGTTGTCATTAAAACATAACACTGCCAATAAATCGAGGATTCGAACAGTGCCCCTCCTAATTTGGTCTAGAAATGAAGCTAATATCAGCATCTCTTAAGTACTAACCAAGTCCTAGAGCCAAGTACATAAGTGTTGTGCTTGGTAAATGAGTTCCCACATACAAACAACTCTTCAAAGGCACTTACAGTCAAACACTAGCCATCTGAGCATGTCACTTATCAAAGATCATAGCTTTAAATTGATGGATGAGAGTCTTGTGATAAACGGGAAAAGGATTTACACCACAACATTATCCCACTGCAAAGAAAAGCATGAGATCTTTACATGCTCCATCATTATGATTTCTATATTTGCAGCTCATAAGCAAATTTGGACATAAACGAAAAACAGTGGAAAAATAGGCGACGAAATCAACAATTCATGTATCAAAAACTGGCGAGGTTGTGTAAATCCTATCTGCATATTAACAAATATACTTTTATGCAGTTAACCTTTTGCTTAATAGCTAGTTAAGTGATGTTAACCCACTTAACAAAATTGCCGAAAAAGGAATACAGGAACAGCTTACTATCTACGGGCGCAAAATGCAACTATGTCTACCAACAAACATAAATCGTCGTAGTTAACACTGCATAATCATAAATTCATGACAAACTATTACTCAAAACTAGAAGGAGGATGCAAAGGACTTAAAACCTCATAACAGCAGTTCTGGTTGCAATTAACGAGGTGTCCCAGGCTCATGCTATCGTTGATTGCTGCTAGTTGCTGCCATCACTAATTGTAAGCTCACGCTACTTGGTTGCTGAGTTGTCAGTTCATTTATTCTTTAGTTCTTCTGTTCATCTTTCCTTACACATACGTCTCTCCATATCCCTGTAGAACCTAAAGTACCTTTGTGCTAGACATGAAAAGATACAAGTAGGATTTTAAATGTGTTGGATAGTTTCTTTTGATTAAAAGTGATTTTTATTATTCAGAAGTACCTGAAGTGTATAAAAGACGTAATGTATGCAGTTTATAAGTCTTAGTAATGAGTATATCTATTGTAGTCTGTAAGGATTTAATTACTAGAGACTTACGCTACAATTTGGGCAGAAAACATATGGTTTGGTAATTATTAGGTTTTAGCATTGTTTGAGGGCACCAATAAAATGTGGAACAGTTTCTATTTTTGTTGAGAACTACGTAGATTCAGTTTATCTATTAAAGGCAAATATCTAATGCGTTTCCAAATTTAAATACATTATTATTGATGAGGTAACTAGGGCAAATGCAGATCAATATTGATTAAAAAGTGGTCATTGAAGTGACTTTACGATGCATGCATCGTAACAATTATTAGCATAATTGTAGTTTAAAGGCAAAAATGTACATAAGCGTTGGAATAAGATAACATTGACGACCAGGTAGTGGTTTGTCTGATCCTAGGGTTCCAAATGATAAATGCATTTACTCCTTTTCGCATATGAGAAAAATATCCATACACCACTAATATAAGTAGGAATGTGATACGTTTTAACAAAGCAGGAACCTATACAGTCACTACACAATGTGAGATGGAACGTCAAACGAATGTACAAAACAACGATTTTGACGTCAACAAATAAACGTATAAATTCCCACCTGGTGTTCGATTGGACGACAGTAATTATCGTGATCTCAAGGACATCAAGACGCGCTCAAAGGTGACACGTTTTAGTAAAGTAACCAAACACAATTATCTTTATCAATGAAAGCATTCTACATCTATCTTCAGTGAACGTGAATCACTCACTGATGGCCTAATAAATGAAATTGTGATTGAAAAGGCACGAATTGTTGTTCTTCAAGTGACAACCGCATTAACTCACTCGAAAGTCGTTGAACTACTTTTACGGAGCTCTCTATAGACTTGAATAGGAATGTCTACAGAACCTAATGTGAATTGTATAATTCATTGTTTCTATGAGCATAAGTCCAAACTAACGCTGCATAAGGTATGTAGTCGTTCGTTCATATTCATTAGTATGACAAGTTCAAATGGTTCAAATGGTTCAAATGGTTGTGGACGGAATAGAAGAAGCTTTCGCTTAACAGGCTTCCGTGTCTAGTAGCAGGGGATCACCAAATCCTCCAGGCAGGAACCTAGGTATGTCAACAATAAAAGAGGAAAAGAAATTGGTAAATCATAGTGTGATACTGTCCTTGGTCCTTAAGAATAGGTCAAGTTGCCTCTTGAAGGACTCCTGAGAAGTCGCTTGGACTAGCTCGGCCGGCAGCGAATTCCAGCTTTCGACAACTCTTAAGGAGTAGAAGTTGTGTCTACATTCCGTCTTTCTATGTTGTGTTTCCAGTTTCTGGGTGTTACCCCTTAGGTTATTATTCGAACTAAGCTTAAGTAGGTGTTTAAGAGGATGTCCAGAAGTGTTAAGAATACTATAAGCCATTAATAAATCACCTCTAAGACGCCTATATTCTAGTGGGTAAAGGTCTAGTGAACGGAGGCGTTCTTCGTAAGGCTTAGATTTGAGTCCTCGAACTGATTTCGTGGCTCACCGTTGGATACGCTCCAAAGTGACCTTGTCCTTTTGGAGTGAGGGGGGAGTACTATGTTTCCGTACTCTAAATGGGGACGGATGAAACTATTGAAGATTGTGTGGAAAGTTCTTCCGTCAAACTGGCCAAAAATGCGCCTCAACGTTACCAGTGCAAGGTTTGCTCGGAAGGCATTTTTGTCACAGTTAGCGTAAGACTTTAAGTCATGGGGCACCAGGACTCCTAAATCTTTTTCGACTTGGGATACTACTAGAGAGGAGTTTCCTAAGTTGTAACTGTAGTTTGCGACATGTCGCAGATGGACTACTTTACACTTTGAAGTGTTAAAGGTAAGTCCGTTATCGTCTGCCCAACTTTGAAGCCGCGTCAGATCCTCCTGAAGTGCCTGTGTATCGTCTTGGCTGCGTATCTCTCTCCAAAGTTTCACGTCGTCGGCGAAAAGTAATAAGTCTGACGTTACCTGTTGAGGAAGATCATTTATGTAGATCAAGAAGAGAAGAGGCCCTAGTACTGAGCCCTGGGGGACCCCACTAGGACATTCCATAGCCTGAGATAAAGTGAAATTAACCCTAACCTTAAAGTGTCGATTTTTTAGGTATGAAGTAAGCCAATCGATTAGAGGTGGTTTGATACCTAGTCGTTTGAGCTTGTTGATAAGACACAAGTGGTTAACCTTATCAAAAGCTTTTGAGAAGTCAAGGTAAATGATATCAACCTTTCCCTTGCAATCGAGGATGCTTGTCCATCTGTCCACCGCAGTCAGCAGGTTGGTTATACAACAGTAACCCTTCCTGAAACCATGCTGTTGGGGTGAGAAGAAATTTAAGGACAGTAGATAGTCATTTAAATCGTCGCATATCAGGGACTCCATGAGTTTTGAAGGTAATGACAGAAGAGCCACCGGCCGATAACTTGAAGGTTCATTGCGTCGACCACCTTTGAAAATTGGTGTGATGTGAGCCAACTTCCAATTTTCCGGTAATTTGCCTCGGCTAAGCGAGTGTGAAAACATCACGCTAAGCGGCGTTGCCAGGATTGAGGCTGCCTCCCTCAGTATGGCAGGATGAACCATATCCGGGCCAGGAGAAGTGTCAAGTCTTAAGTGCTGCAATTTCCGGAACACCAAGTCAGCGCTTAGGTCCACTTCAGAAAGTCCTGTGGAATTGCAGATGAAACTGTCGTCAATAAAGTTGATGTCAGCCGGTTGAAATGTTTGAGAGTAATGTGCCGCCAGAAGGTTAGCGGCGTCGCCATCGTTGTTGGTCGGGCCGCTAAGACCTAGCAGTTGAGAAACTCCTGTTTTGGCTTGACGAAGAGAGGCTGCATAACGGAATAGGTTTCTAGGGTTAGAGGCGAATTTGTCCATAAGCTTTGTTTGGTACTGAAGCCTGTCTTCTCTTATAGCCTTCGTGCACATGTTCCTGATATGTTTATATTGCCTATACGCTCCATCGTTATTAGTTTGTTTGTATTCCGCCTAACAGTGCCTTTTGCGGCTTAGCAGGCGAAGGGTACGGTTCTTGATTACTGTAGGTGGCTTGCAGCTTTTGGGAACCGTTTGAGGAACTGAATGGTCTGTAGCACATAAGAGCGTGTGCAGTAAGAAGTCCCAATGACCATCCACATTGAGTTGAGGGTGAACATCCCAAACCACCTGTTGTAGATAGTCATGTAGAGCTGGCACATTCAGCCGTTTAAAATTCCAACGCAAATTATTGTTGGGATACCTTAGCTTAGTTTTGATGACAAAACTGAAGGCTATGACGGCATGATCGCTCTTTCCCAGAGGAGCCAGGATTGAGAGGTTGTCGACTAGGAATTCTTCGTTAATGAATACACAGTCTAAGCGCGATGGTGTCTGACTGTTTCTCCAATGAGTTGCCGACCTCACACTTTCATATAAGCCCAAGTTATCGATGAGGTTGAAGAACCGAGCTTCAGTTGAGTTGTCGCCTCCAGTGTACGTGTGTTCCGCGAAGTTGACTCTAGGGAGATTAAAGTCCCCTAGAATCGGGATGTGTGTGAAACCGAGACGGATAGAGCGGGATAGTCCTTCCAGCATACGACTATCGTACTCGGTGTCGGCAGTTGGCTTCCTGTAAATGACTCCGACTAGACACCTGGAAGTACTAGACAATCTTACAGAGCACCATATGGATTCCTGAAGATTGTTAAACTCGAGGTTGTGAATCTGGTGCACCTCCAAGCAAGAGCTTATGTATATGGCTACTCCGCCCCCAATTCCTGTTTTTCTGTCGTTGCGGAACAAAGTCATCCCAGGTAATGCTAACTCTTGGTCCGAGAACTGAGAAGATATCCAGGTTTCAGATATTCCTATCAGATGGGCCTTATTAGCGTTGCTAAGTTCACGTAGTTCATCCTGTTTGTTTGGTAGACTCGCGGCGTTCATATATAAGCAGTTTATGCTTTCAATTTGGAACGCGTGAGCTTCGTCCTGTTTTTCTGTATGAACCTTATGTGAATGGACAGGTAGCCCACCTATATGAGGTTTGCCGAGGTGGTAGGCCCTGTCCTTTACACGTTTTTTTATCGTTTAGACAGTCCACAAGTGGAATGGTCAGCTCCAACTTGCCTTTGTTCTTGGTCCTAACTTCGTATGGCCTATCCGGGTGCATGCGGATTCCAGGTGGCAATCGACGTCTATTAGCACGAAATGCTTCCAGAACTGCAGCCGCCATGTGGGAAGATGGGAAGGTTATCTTCATTAAACGGGGTTTAAGATCACCGTCCTTCTTGGCTAGTCTAGTCACATGCTGAGTCAGTATGTGTTTGAGCCTCAAGGACTGTTTGATGAATTTCCATTCCCTGATGTCAGAATTTGATTGAGTAGGGTCTGCATTTTCCGGTATACCTTGGACAATTATGTTTCTTCCACGGAAAAACTTCTCGCGAGATTCTTTAGGGACGTTTCGTATGATATTGCGCTCAGAGTACGGTATGTCGGGCAATATTCCTACGTTACCATCGGATTTCAGCAAGTCACTTGCTAGCAAGACGTCCTCTACGTCGGTAGCATTCTTAAGTGTTACTCGGAGAAGCCTCGGGTGATTTAGATGCTTAGAATCCTTTCCTCGAGTGAGCCGGGTGACCGTCAAAGGCTCTATTCTAGGAAGTTCGAGCTTCTTGTTCAATTCACCCCAGAGCATCCTGTCGTTTTTGTCCTGCAGACTGAGAGGAAGGTCAGGATTGTCAACGAGGTTCATGATAATGAGAGAATCGTCACGAACTGTTGTTAATTTACCAGGTTTCACGATGGGTTCAGGTTTAATAACTTGTTGTTTGGAGGTCAGTGTGCGTTTATGAATCTTGGGCTCTTTATTGACCGGACGAACAGTCTTGGGGGTAGACTGTGCGACTAAATCACCAGTTATTTTCCGTGCAGCAACACTTGGGTTGCTCGGCTTAGGCGGTGATGCCTGGTTCTTTTGGGCTCTCTTAACGTGGGTCGAATCACCTGCAGGGTTTTTGGGAACCACTGTTGTGTTCAGGGACCCTGAGCTGGGAGACCCGAGCTTGCCTAGGGAGTCTAGTACCGTCGACGTAATGATGGTACTGAGCCTCGACACGTCGTCATTAGTGTTGATGGATGCTCCATCGATGGTATACCTATCGACATCCCTATTTTTGAGTCCGTTGCGCGCTCTTGTTTGTATATCGGTTTTTTTACTATCGTATTCCAAGTTAACTGACAGCTTGTTCCGAAGACCTGTCAGTAGGACAATGATGTTACTCAGCAAGACTACTGCGTCCGTGCTGCACGTGACACATACCCACTTTTGGTCTGACTTGCTGAGTCTGTTGTAAGCAGTTGCTGTCAGATTTGTGCATGCTTCGTGGAACCAACCTTTGCAGTTGTCGCACTGCATGCCAGTTGTGACAGCAAAACGGCATCCCGGACGTTTGCATGAGTTTTTCATGACGGTGTTGAAGCAAACTATGTTATAGATGCTTGCAGGAGCCTAAGACCTTTTTAAAAAAACACTAAAAAGCACACTGAAAACGGACAAAAATGGACAAAACGAGTGATATAAACTGAAACTAGTCTATACGTGAAAAACAAAAAAAACCGAATAGTAAGCTAAGGCAAAACCACAGGTAATTATTAAATATAGTGAAACTCAAAAAAAAGTAATCTACCGAA